TACTGAGCCATCTCCCCAGCCCTCTCTTCAAATTCTTGTTCCTTGAATTTTTCTAGATGTTATAATATAACATCAATTTCATGCAAAAATTAAAAAACTTCAATCTTTGTGTTAATAATTTAAAACGCTAACAAAGTTTTAAGACTAACAGGCAGCTGTCAACAGTCAAAACTAATGCCAAGCTTAGATATTTCTATACTACCTACTATATTTATGAGTAAAACTATAGTTCTTAGGGCTAGGGAATAGCTCAGTGGCATAAGCTCCTGCCTGGCAAGCGCAAGAGCCTGAGTTCAATCCCTGGTACAAAAAAACCCAAAAAACAAAAACCACAAAAAAACAAAAAATAAACAAACAAAAAAAACCCTAAAGCTCTAAGTGTGTCTTCTCTACTTCTCTGCTCCAAATCCATAGCCATAACATCCCAGTAGCAGTATTTTCGTAATTTTTCCACTCCTCAGTATAAATTTGCTAACTGGCAATTTGTTTTACATTTTTAAGAAGGAAGCTTAAAAGTAGGAACAAAGTTACTCCAATTACTTTCTTAAACTGTTTTTTACAGTCCCTTTAGACATCTGGAGCAGTTCAGATACTATACATATTTTCTGAGTAAAGAAAGTCTTCTTTTTCTATTTACCCTTATAGAAAGACCTTTTTTTCCTACTACCTCCTCTCATTTATCTTGAGTTGCATCCCTCTCTGGTTTAGGCTGACCATGCAGAAGCAACAGCAATGCACAAAGAATGTAAGAACTTACTAAGATTTTCAATAGTGGGTTGCATAACTGATTCCTAGTTTTAGTTCAAGTTCCCTACTTGTGGACCCTGATGTATAGCGACACATACTTATAATCCCAGCATGCCTGTAATACCAGCATTGGTGAAGCTGACTGGCCAGCCTGGCTACATACTGAGTTCAAAGGATAGCCTGAACTATATAGGGACACCCTGTCTCAAAAGAACAAAACTTTCTTAAATATTTTGTATCTACTTCAAGTTAACATATTTTTATTAAACTTTTTACATATTATGAGTTTTAGAATTACAGAAAACTTGCAAAATTAGCATGGAGCTCCCTCATACCCTTCATCCAGGATCTATATAATTATAGTAAAATTATCAAGACCAAAAAATTTAACATTGGTATAAGTCAAATAATGAAATACAGGCTATTTCCAATTTTTCTAGTTTTCCTATAATGTCCTTTTTCTGTTCCCAAGTCCAATCCAAGATCCCACATTAATTTTGACATTATTTCTCCTTAGCATCTAATTAAGTGATAGTTCTTCAGTTTCTACTTGTCTTAATACGGGCCAGTTTGAGAATGTCCCTCATTTTTGGTTTGTGTGATACTTTATCATGATCTGACAGGTAAGGGGTTAGGTACTTTTGGTAGAAATACTAAACATCATAGAAATGATGTGTCCCAATCACCACATTCATGATGCCCACATCTTCTGTAATGTAAGTATTAATCAACTGGCCTATGTAGCATTTCCACTGTCAAATTACTATGTTTTTCTTTGCAGTTAATTATCTTGAGAGATACTTTGAGATTATATAATTAGCCTGATTTCCTCAAACTTTCACCTCTTAACATCATAGGTAGACTCTGCAACAATAACTATGGTATTTGTTTGATGATGACTTTCTATGTCCTTTTCTCTGTTTCTTAAGAAGGAATAACAGCCAGCAAGATAGCTCAGCATACTAAGCACCTACTCAGGCAAGCATGGGGACCAAGGTTCCATCCTCAGCACCACATGCCTAGCCAGCCCCAGGTGCCAAGCCGGCCACCAAGACTGGGTGTGGTGGTACATACCTATAATCCCAGCACTGGGCAGGCTGAAAACAGGTGGATCACTGCAAGTCCAGGCTCTACAGTGAGACCTTGTATCAAACACATTTAAAAACAAAAAAATACCTTCCTGGCAAGTGTAAGGTCCTGAGCTTGATCCCCAGCACCAAAAAAAAAAAAAAAAAAAGGCAAAAGAAGGAATTATAGGAAACTTTGGCATGTGAGCATTATGCATTCCAGAAACATGCTTGTAATACAAAAGCATTTGCATATCAAAGCAAATTTCCCCATAATAAAGGAAACTCAAGATGATCACTAACAGAATCACTGCTACCTACTGGCTCAATGGAATCTTTTCCTTTTTGTGCAACTTTATTAACAAGTAACTTATCCAAGATACTTGCTTTTGAGGATCTCGCAGAAATGTGATACTGCATGTTGTTAAACAGATTTACTGCTTACAGTGTATAGCCTTATCTTGGTGGTGCTTTTCTATAATGGCAAATTTTTTTTTTTTTTTTTTTGGTATTTTAGGCAAGGATCTACAGGGTGTTCAGGGTTTCACTACTAGATTGGACTCACAGTGATCCACCTGTTTTACAGCCTCCCAAGAGCTGGGATTACAGACATGCATGACCACGCCCAGTCTCAATTGCTGTCTCAGTGCCCCCAGGGGGCAGGTGCTTTTTAATAAAATTGTGCACTGCTTCCCACATTTTACACATCTTCCTCATGTCATCTGAAGTCAGGGACTCCTCCTCCTCCTCTGCAGATGAGATGTCCTCTATAGCCTCTTGCTATTGGGAGACAATCACCCAAAATCCCCCAGCAAGAAAGAGAGCCACCATGGTCTCAGTTATGATGTGAAATTTAGTATTACATACTATATATTTTTTTGTACTATTCATAATTCAGACATAATTCATTTACCAAGCTAAAATTTATTAAGACACTAGGTATGTTGGTATACCCCTATAATCCCAGCACTCAAGGACTGAGGAAGGAGAATCACTGTGTGTTTAAAGAAAGCCTGGGCTACACAGTGAGTTCAAAGTCAATCTGAACTACCAGTGAGACCCTGGTTCAAAAACTAAGTTATGTAAGGGGCTGGGGAGATAGCTCAGTAGAAAAGCACTAGCCTGGCAAGTGCAAGGGCCTGAGTTCAATCCCCGGTTCCACCAAAATAAATAAATAAATGAATAAATAAATAAATAATTAGAAGTACTTGCTTGTCTTAAAAACACTTGCAGAACAAGTTACTCTCTTTTCCCCTACTTATTCACTTGTTCAACTACCTCAGTGTGAACTCACGGGTAGTTATTTTATGGGTCAAAACTTAATACTATCATTACTTATTTTGTTGCTCAAATTTTTCTATATTTGGCCATTAGGAGCTTCAAGTTGGCTCCTATCTTTCAACAAGCCCCAAAATTTTCTAAGCTCTTCCTTAACTTCCAGACCTATGACACAGTTCAAGTTCATCTTACATTTTTTCTGCCCTAACTCTAGAATCAACCACTTCTCCAAATAAATACTGCTCCCTTAAAAACCAATATTTGGGTGTTTACTACGTCTGTCAGCCAACAACTGGTTCAATAACCAATAGTCTGTTGTGGATCTGGTTGTTTACTGAGATGGGGTCTCACTGTGCTGTCCAACCTAACTTCCTGCCTCAATATTCATGTGGCTAGTATTACAGGAAAGCACCACCATAACCAATTTACCACTAGTATCAGTAACTGTTTCCTTACTGTACCAAACTCAACTGGGATTCTTCAAGATTTCCTGTAACTACCAACTCTTGGGCCCCATCCTTGAACCTACTAGACCAGAATTTCTGAGGGTCTCCTGCAGGAATTTGTATTTTAACAGGTTTACCAGATTCTGGTGCTCACTATAAAGTGCAAGATTTTAAGGAATTCCTCTTAAAAGAAAAGTTAGTTTTCCTTTATTATAAACTTTATTTCATTTATTCTCTAAAATTTTTAAAAAAGGAACATTTATAGGGGCCGGGGAAATGACTCAGTAGAATAAGCACTTGCCTGACAAGCGCAAGGGCCTGAGTTTAATCCCCAGTTCCACCAAAAAAAAAAAAAAAAAAAAGGAACATTTAATCTTAAGAATTTGCCTGTGTAGATATGCTATAACTAATATAAACATGGGTGAATGGCATCATTTGTTAAGGCACTAAAATGTTCAATGTGGTGATTCAAGTAATTATAAAATACAAATACTTTTACTGAGATTGAAAGTCATCCTTTCAAGAGCAATTCTTGTCTACACATGAGCTCCAATACCACACTATGTATCTATACATACATACGGAATCTAGCATAGCTCTCTACTAAAGTCAGATTCCCTAGGCCTGAAAAACTTCTGACTTAAATATTCTCTCTATGCCTCTGGTTTTCTTAACCAAAAAATGTAGTAGAACTACCTAGATGACTGAGGCAATTGGAGGGTAAAACAAGATATGAACAACATCACTGTGAGGGCACCAAAAAAGTTCTCAAAAACTGATAATCACTATTACTTATTAAGTAAAAACTGAAGGTTTTATTTGGGGGCATGAGACAAGTCAAGTAGAAACTGCATTAAAGCAAAATTCTGCTCTTTCATCAATAGATCAGAAAAAAGACAAAAACCAAACAGCTCTACATATAGTAGTTTAAATATTCAGAATTTAGCAACCAATGTGTTAAATTTTATTTTTTGTACACTTACAGGCAAAGGTTAAAGTTATACATGCAAAAAGTAAAAGACAATTTAATCTATGGATATAGTGAAATTACATGTAAATTTTCTTCCTATTTTGATTACCAAAAGCATATAACATACCTCCTTTGATATTAGTAGAAAGCTGAGTATCCCAATCAGTAACTGCAGCTTCTACTTGTTCTCACTCCTTAAACTGCCCCATTTAATACTCCAAATGACCCCTATCAATCTACACTTTACTAATATGGAAATGGGCTCACAGCTACCAAGTTTTCTGCCAACACAGAGACAACAGGAATTCAGACCCAGAGTTAAAATTGTATACTCTTTACCAATGTTGAAGACACCTTTATTTCCAAATGCTTATATTCTGTGTAAAACTTAAAATAAATTATCACTATATCATCTCATGGGCTACAGTTTAGTAAGGAGTTCATAAGATACAGAAATATTTAGGTGCAAAACAAAAACTACCAACTCTTTACCATTTTTCAAGGTTGTAGCACTTCTAAGATTATGTGCTCTCACAGCTGGCTTAGTGTACGATCTCAAATCTCTACAACAGTTCTTCTGACCAAATTTCATTTAGGAAATTCAAGTAACACTAAAAATAAAAGTGGGTTTCTATGGAATATAGTTCAAACTACTTAGTCAAAAACAAACTATATACAGTACAATACCCAATGTATTAGTAATATACCCGAGAATTCTTAAGTTAGCCAAATTCCAGTTACTCTGTCCATTATAGAAGCGCTCAAGGCAGATTATGTCTACATTAGGAAGAAAACTAGATAAAATAGTGCTTTATGAGTCATTCAAGGGAATATGATAACCCTGCAGCAAAAATGGTCTTCAAACTGTGGACTCTGCCTTCAGTGTAATAAACATTACTTAAAGGAGAGGCTCTCACTTTAAACTTTAGAATTTCAGAAGAATTTCATAGGAAATATTAACTTTTTCAAAGTACTGTAATCGAAAGAATTCCAAAAACATTTTTAGTTCCTTCACCTGAAGGACTCCTTTTTCATTAAAGGAGCTGCGATTGGTCAAGATAATATGTTTAAAAAATAAAACTCATAAAATGAATAGCTGCCACAGTCTCAATTTTTAGAAAATAAAGAGAAGGAAAAGATCTTGCCTACAAATCTAAATAAAAGTTTAAAACCTAAAGACAATAAAGCAAATGTCTGTTTAATCAGAATACTAAAAAAAAAAAAATTAAAAAATAAAAAAACTCGGAGTACTATGCCTCGTCTTCAGACCTGTTTAGCAGTGGAAAGTCTAACAAGCACTACTGATAAAGCAGAGTTCAGATAAACTACTTGAGATGTTTCGGAATGTAGAAAAGAGTGAATTTTCTAATCAGGTACGAAATACATAATTCGGAGTACATAAACACGTAAGCAATGTAACTATGTGTCTAAAACTTCAAACTTTGTTCGTTTTTACCATCAAGACTAGAACAAAAAAGTACTATCTCTTAGGGATTAATACGACAAATGGTGAAATCCTGCCAGGCACGGAGGTAGAGGGAGTAACTGCCACCTATATTAGTCGTCAAGTTTCCCGTTTTGAAACTTAAAGGAATTCCGTTTATTATTCTAACGCCCGAACCAAAGATTTACTCCTACCTTCACCTGTTTAATGTTCATTCCCAGCCAAAAAAAAACCCCTCAACTTACCCTGTTTTCAGTTTGTGCCGTAGGGAGGTGGGGGTGGGGTGGTATCCGTTCTGAAAACCTTTTAAAATGAGAAAATACCAGTTCAGATACTAAAACATGGGAAAGTTGCACATTCATTATTTTACTTACAAATTCTAGCGGGGTTTTAAGTAGTGGAACTGTCACTACCGGGGCGCCCTCGTGTCTCTGGTGTTCCCCTTGCTCCGAGACTCCGGGACACACTCCTACACAGCAGCAGCGGAATGTCGTCCGGCCCCGCCCACGTGACAGCCACCTCCGCAAGGAGGGGAGGGGACGGCCCAGGGAATGCTGGGAGCGGTAGTCGCCCTTCCCCACCTCCGGCCTTCTCTACACCCCTGACCCGCTGGAGTGCGGCCACCAGAGCAGCCTTAAAGTACTGGCAACCGAACCACAGACAGCTCTGGTTCTCTCACAGATTTACTAGGACTGCAGTCACCTCCGCAAGACATCTGACCACTCTAACCCTTAAAACGACCTGAAACTCATACATTAGAAAAACCATTTAACATAGTGAGAAGTAGTACCACATCATGGAAACACCAGTCAGACATGGTTTCAAATCGACTCTCTTCACTAGGAGAATGTCCTCAAAATAGCTGCTTCATCAAATCCGAGTTAACTCCTGTCAAACGGGGACAAAGCTACATAACCACACAGTTGTTGGGATCCTGTAAGTAGCATACCTGCTAAATGATAGTAAATGATTAATTAAAAATAGCTATTTTGATCTATTCATTCTAGTAACAAGGAAAATTCATAGTAAGCAATTTACCAAACATACTTGGTTGGGGCAACGTCAATTTGGTCTAAAATTCCTGTTCTTATACCATTTCAAGACAAAATCTCCCTTCCCTCTCATTTTTTTCCTGTAACACTTCTAACCAACACAGTATTCTATTGATTTTGATTTTTCTTTTTTTTTGCCTGATTCCACTACTGAAAATAAACTTCAATGTTATTTTTAAGTTTTAAATATTTTCCTTACTAAAATTAAATTTTGCCCCTTCCTATTAAGCTACAATTTCAATTATTTCTGTATCCTCCATGAAAATTATTTTTAAATAAATTTCATTTAAAATAGCTAACTGGGTGTGGTAGTACATGCCTATAATCCCAGAATTCAGGAGGTTAAGGTCAGAGGATTAAATTTCAAGGCCAGTCTGAACCCTATGAATATGGAAACCTTATCTCATGAAAGTATAAAAATAAACTGCTTTATTTTGAAATCCAACATGAAAAACACAGGATTTCTAAAACTAGCCCTAATATTTAAGTAAGCAGATTAATGCCAGTTAGTAAACTAATTTATAAAACTTGTGTATCAGACTTCCCTAATATAGCACAATACACAGCAAATTCAGAGTAAATTTATCTCCATCTTTTTTTTCCATCTTTGTTAGCACAGTGTATTTACTAAATATATATGTATTCGTTATAACCATTACTTCTGTTACCTGTGTTTTGATTCATTGAATTATTCCACATTTCACAAATTCATGAAGTAACAACTTTTTTTTTTTTTTTTAAATAAAGTAACAACTCTTGGCATTGGTGGCCTGGCAAATCTTCTATGATACTGGCTATGCCTAAGTAATGTTACTTCTTATGGGCCTTTGTGGTTTGGACAACACCTACAGAAGAATATCTGGTTTGACAAGAGTTTCACTCATTGTTAGTAATGAAAGTTTGGTATTTGTAAGATGGTTAGGTGTGGGAGGCAGTTATGACAGAACTAAGATTATGTATTCTTATATCCTAGACAACAGGGGAAGCCAAAGCAAATATACGTGCTAATGGCAAGTGCTAAAGTTACCTTTTCTCCTGCTTTTGAGTCTACTTCAACATTCTCATTATTTATTTCTTTGAAAAATCATTGCTATGCCTTTACAAGCAGTTTAGTTAAATACGTGATTATTCAATAGTCTATAAAAACTCTCTAATTGTTTACAAGCCAGTTTCCAAGTTTTGTATCTATAGACACCTGTTCTGGTAAAAGAGGCTCTCAGTATACCCACTTATTTTCATAATGAACTTAGTATATTATAACAGCATAAAATGTATAGCCTTTAATAATTACTGTATGTCCATTAAAGAACTTTTACTATATGTGGTAATGAGAAATGTAACAGCCACAAGGGTCTGGGGAGATGGCTCAGGAGAGTAAATGCTTCCCTGGCAAGTGCAAGGGTCTGAGTTCAATCCTTGGTTCCACCAAAAAGAAAATAATAATAATAATAATAATAATAATGCAAAAAGAGAAATGTACCAGCCACCTTACCAATAAAGTACTACTTAAAAACAAATTAAAAACCATGTATTGTATTTTTCAGCATTTTGTAGAAAAGCCACAAATTTTCCAAATATATCAGCTAACCCAGGCTGACAACAAAGAATGTTTTTGTTGAATTTTTTCACTTTTTCCTCAGAAGATTAAGAGACTAGTAGTCTCTCTCACTTGTTAACTGTTCTTTCAGTATCTTTGACTATGCTGTATACAGCAATAAAAAGCTACATCAAACAGGTAAAAACCTAACTCATGTAATTCCTCGTGTCAGTGGCCAAATATATGTACTAGTGAAAATATAAAAATCTAAAATTTGTTCCAAGTTTCAGTAACAAATGAGTTCCTCAAAAACATTTTAAGGTGATTAATATACTTGAAAGACCTTTCCATTTTTCTAGAATCACTGTAATTGATATCCAAATTACAACCTATTTAAATCTTAGAGAGTTCTCAAAATTTTATAATTGAAGGTAATATTAAGCTTTCTTTCAAATAATTCAGACTTTATACCAACTTAATCGACCTTCCCTATTTATCTAAATGTGGTTAAGTAACTGCAGATTATCCACATCTGTAAATATTGCCACAGGAAGTTAAACCGGCTTCTAGCAGGCTTTCTTGCTTGGTAAACTCAACGCAGGAACCCCATGTCAAACGCAGAATTAAACTAAAAATAATGGATCTCGACTTACAATTACAGTGCTCCCTTTAATCAAACTATAAACTTAATTTCACTATGCACAACGCAGCACTACAACTGTCTTAACTTCTATGTGAAGGAAAACTATCCAGTAAGTATGACTGTAGATACGATTTTGGACAACCTCAACAGGTGATGTGAAATTTTAAACCGGCCAACATTCCCAACGAACTTGAAACTACAATTTACGCCCCGAAAAGCCGATACACGCAAAAATCTTTCTCTGATATTCATTCCTGCTGGGGCTATTTGGAAAACTACGTCCAAGGTTGTGGTACTTAGGTTCCCAAAAACAACTGCGCAACACCTTGGGCGCGGAGGCTCAACTCGGGATTCTCCGCCCTCTTCTCCCTCGTCCCCTCCCGGCGCTCGGCACCGGGCAGCCGCGTCTCCCGCGTGCCCCTATCAGTTGCCACGGGCAGCAGGACGTCGCACAAACACTATCCCCGGCACCGCTCTGTCGCCCAGCTTCCCCTCCCTCAAGGCGAAGGACAGGGATGTCCTCCTCCCCCTTCTCCTCCTCTTTGGTGGCTCCAGCCAGGAGGCGGGAGTGACCCGGAGCAGCTGACCCAGCTGGGACACTGCCTCTCCCACAGCCCTCAGGACACACCATGGGTCCAGAGGCAGGTCTGCCGCACAGCAGCGACGACGCGGGCGGCGGCCCCCGGGACTCTCAACTGCCTCCCTGACCACTGCAGACATCGCTCAACACCCCCGAGAAGCCATCGACACCTCCAGCAGGAAAATCTAGGGGTCGCACAGCCACCTTCACGATTCCTACAGCTACGTCAACAAGTATGGCGCGCGAGGGGCGGCGGGCGGAGCCGGCGGGGGCGCCGTGGGGGATGTACGTCACGCCGCGCGCCCCCCTCCGCGAGGGCAGGCTCCGCTGCGCTGCTCAAGATGGCGGCGACGGTGACGCGCTCGCGTACGGAACTCCTCCGTCACGCCAGGGCCGGCGGGAAGTGAGGTTCTCGGAGGAACCGCCAGAGGTGTACGGCGACTTCGAGCCCCAGACAGCCCAAGAAGGGTCTCCGGTGGGAAGACGAACCCCGCCAGGAGAGTTTCGGCCCGATTCTGCAAAAGAGGAAGTAAGAGAAAGCCCCTACTACCTCCGGTCTCGGCAGCGGAGGCGGCCCCGACCTCAAGAAGCCGGAGAGATGAAGACGCGAAGGGAAGCCCGCCCCGAGCGGTCGCCGAACTCACTGGAGAGTCCGCTCCAGCCGTCCCCGGCGACTACCAGGAGAGGGCTGCGGGACTCTCAGTCCTCTGAAGGTGGGAACCGCGGAAGGACAGCCCCAGCCGCGAGCCGGAGGCGCGCGCAGCGGGCGGGCAAGCGGGGGCGCGCCGCGGAGGAGCCTCGGATCCCGCTCGCCGCGCGCCCCCGCGTGGGGTATCCGAATGGCGGGCGGAGGGAGGCACTGCGGGTGGAGGAAGCAGGAAAATGCCGGCTCGTGGGGCTACCCGGGCAGAGCCGGGAAACGCCGTGCATTCCTGGCGCGAGTTTAGGGGCGTCGGGGAACGCCACTTTCTGCAGGCGTTCTTGAGGGGACTCCGAGTTAGGCAGCAGTAGGAAGGAGTAAGAATGACCGCAGCCTTGGTTTCATTTCTTTTCCTTCTGCGGATCTATCTCGAAGCCACTTCCATTTCCCCCTTTCAATACTCAGAAGCGCCCCTACCCACAGGGCTGAGGATCGTGGTTCTGACCTTCCACTCTTTCCCACCTCCGTCAGTTGGGGAGAGGAGAAATTTTGTGAATGGGAATTTCGAAGAGTAGTTACGGAATTGAGTCTTTACTCAATTCTTGTTCAAACTGGGTACTCAGTTTTGTTGAACTGAAACACCCAGATGTCACCAGAGTCAGCTGGTCCTTCTCAGATGTTGTGGTCAGCTGGCTTGGTGGCTCATATTAGTCCCATTGAGCCAGTTTTCCTTAATGCCTCCCCACACCCCCACCCCCAGATCTAACAGTCACAAATGCAGTTTCATGTTAGCTTTATGTAAAGCACCTGCCTATGAGGGAGAAATCAGAGCATTTGAGTCACAATGGGATACATAGTTAATTGTAGACCGGGTACCTGTGGTGTCAGGTACATAGATTTTCGATTTAGAGTGCCATAGTAGGCAGTAGTAGGCTGCAAAGTTACCTGCTCACACTCAAAAGTGCTGATACATTTGAAGACTAGATTTCACAAACTTTTTATTAAAGGTAGGTAAGTTTCTCTTGGGCTTGACAATCAAGATAGTTGAACCCAATGTGTTAGTTTTGTGTCTAAATCGACAATCCTTGAAGGATCCTGTGGCATACCATGTAGTTCCTACTAACCTAAGTACTTGTGTTCTGTATTTCTTTCAGTACGGGGAGAATGCTTTGCATGCAGGAGGCAGTGTAAATATGTTACTTTGTATAGACACTCCCACAGAGTCTAGCGCAGTTACATAGGCTTTTCTTTTGAAGTAAGGAATTTATCTCTAATTTGGTAAGTCTGAAATCTTCCAACTGTTCTCTTTGATATCATTTTTGATATTCAAATCCATCCTTTAACTACAAATGTTTTTGTTGTAAAACAATAGTGGTGAATTTGGAACAGGGTCTCACTACACAGCTCAGACTTGTAGTTAACCTCCTGTTTTCAGCTTCCCAAGCACTGAAATCTACCCCCAAGACTCAGCGTACCCCCATGATGCACCCCAGGGATGAGGCCAGCACAACATGTGGTGCCAGGGATTGAACGTGGTACAGGCACTTGGCCTAAGCAGGCACTTAGCCTGCTGAGCTATCTCACCAGCCCAGTGGTGAATATTTTTGTATTTGGTGAATTACATTCTTAGGAGTGGATTAATTTCTAAGCTTTGGTGAACTTAATCACACATTTCTAAAGAAATGAATCACTTGTATTATTTTGAAGTGTGCATAATCTCTATGATCTCCCATACCATGTATCATATCCTGAATTTTAACTTGTTATATATTTTTTCTTTAGAAGATGAATCATCTTCTCAAACTGTTACAAACCAAACAGCTTTGAAAACTGTCAGAACACAAGAAGCTCCAGGTAAGAGTAGTTCAGTTTTTGTTTTTCTTCTTACTTGCCACTCAGGATTTAAAACAGGGCTTTGCTGTGAGATAAATCCCCAATCCTTTTTTAACTTTAAGGCAGGGTCTGCATAATTTAGCCAAGTTGCTAAATTACCCAGGTAGATCTTGAGCTTGGAGTCCTCTGGCCTCAGCCACACCAGTGCTAGGATTATAGATGTGTACTACCATCCTAGGTTTACCTGCCATCTTTTTTTTTTTTTTTTTTTTTTTTTTGGAGGCTCGAAATACCTTTAGGGCATTTCTGGTTTTCAGTGACTGTCTGGGTTCGAACCAAAGAAGCTTGAGCTTGAGGGCTTTGCTTAAGCAGACACTTAAACAACTGAGCTACTGGGCAGGCCCCCAACCTGCCATCTTTTTAAAATACAAATTCATCAAAGATTCATTAAGGATACCAAGTCATAGCCCATTCTTTGTTTTTGTTGTTCGCAGAAGTAAGCAATGTTGATATGTGTTGAAGAAAGACAAGGTTGAATGGCCAAGGATATAGCTTAGTGGCACAATGCCTGCCTGGCAAGCTCAAGGTCCTGAATTTGATTCCTGGTATTAAAAAAAGTCTGTAGAAAGACAAGGTCGAATCCTTCAATATGCACTAAAAAACACCAGTTACTTTGTGTTAATACTTACAGCCTTCCCTTAAATAGTATGCATGTTTTATTGATGAGAAAAGTAGAGGTCAGAACATCTAAAATTCTCTAAGAACATATATGTGACAGAGCCAAAATTTAGGCCCAGGTTTGTCTTTTCCCAAAACCCTTTCATTTTTCCAAGGAACCTGGCCTTTACTGTCCCATATAGTGATTAGATGCTTGGTAAAAGTTAAGTGTCAAATGAGTATGTCATGTTGCCCTTTATTTAAAAATTCTGTATGGTAAAATCTTTGTACAATATTGTTGGTTTAATATTGTTTGGTCAGATTCCAGATGCCATTGTTTGTAAGGTACACCATCTTTGTTTTATGTACCACCTGGAGAACAAAATTACTTATTTTCTGGTAATTTATTTATTTATTATTATTTTTTTTACGGAACTGGGGATTGAACTCAGGTCCTTGCACTTGCCAGGGAAGTGTTTATTCTACTGAGCCATCTTCCCAGGCCTTTTTTCTTTTGGTAGAACCGGGGATTGAACTCAGGCCCTTGTGCTTGCCAGGCAAGTGCTTATTCCACTGAGCCATCTCCCCAGCCCACTGGTAATTTATTATAACAGGTTTTAGGTTATATGATGTATCCCAAATTTAAAGATACTTAAGTGTTTAAAAAAAACCCAACACTTAGAACTTATTTTTAAACTATTGTATGAATCATTGTGTTGATTTGAAAAATAACCCATAAATATAACTTTTTTTGAAAAATAAAATTATTTTGAAATAAAAAAAAATAAAAAATAAAAAAAAAAATAAAAAAAACCCAACAATTTAGAATACATATAATGGAGAAAGAGGGTACATTTAACAATTCACATAAGTTTTTGAAATTTAAAAATTTTTTTTGAGGGCCAGGCAGATAGCTCCGCAGACTAAAGCACCTGCTTAGGCAGAGCTCAGCAGCTAGGGTTTGATTCCTGGTGTGCTGTGCTGGCCCTGCCCCTGGGGCACGCTGAGACGGCCATTTAGACTGGGCCATAATCCCAGAGTTTGGGAGGCTGAAAATAGGAGAATCAGTACAAATCTGATCTATGTAGTAGTGAGACCCTGTAGACCCTGTATTTTTTTTTTTATTGAGAAATAAATATGAATGAGACAGTTTCACAGCTGATTAATAGGACAGTTTTGATGATCAATACACTGTACATTGTTATCTTCTTAGTGGTTATCCATAGTACAAGAAGCAGACAGGATATTCTGTCTAGTTAGTATACCTCTTTCTTCTCATTGAATTAAGCAAAAGTAGTTGTAAAGACCCTGTATTAAATACATTTAAAAAAGATTTTTTTAAAGCTGGGAAAGGATTGAATTCAATTTAGTTTTTAATGTTTTGGCTTTTCCAGTTATTTTTCTTTTCTTAATTTTAGGAAAGTCCCTCAATAAGAAATGATTGGAACTATTGAAGCTAATTACCTCCAGAGGTTTTTTTTGTTTTGTTTATATTTGGTTTTGTTTTGTTTTTTTGAGACTTGAGTAGTGCTGTCATGTAGCTCAGGGGTGAACTCCTGCCTCAGCCTCCAAAGTACTAGAATTACAGGTATATGTATGCCTTGATATTCTTGGATTTTATTGTCCATGGCCTGATTTATCTGTTATTTTTTTTCTTTTTCTTTATTTTTTGAATTTATTTATTTATTTGTGTGTGTGTGTGTGTGTGTGTGTGGCCAGCTCAGCCCACCAGGGGGCGGGGCTGGCTGGCATGTGGTGCTGGGGGATT